AACAGCTTTGTACAAATAAACATTGATAGAATGTACAGAACCATTCAATAGAATTTTGAGAGATTATTAACAGAATATCCCACTGCTAAGTATATGATAAATTATTGAATTAACATTAGATAAGGTTGAGAATAAAGTGTGTGTTTTTTCAATACATCTTAGACTGGTGAGTCTTCTGCTCGATGATAACCAGCCTACTCATATTTTAACCCTTTTCCCCATTGTTGGAAAGTGTGTCGTCTGCTACCCCAGCTGGAGCCACCTGGTAACAATTAATCACAAGCTGTCAATATACAATACATTATAATACATCAAGATGGCAGTTTCCATGTAAAGATTAAGTATTTCTAAGCAACTTAAAGATATGCACAATATCTAGATATATGTATCTTTAATTTGCTTAGAAATACTTAATCTTTACATGAAAACTGTCATCTTGATGTATTATTCTGTTTTGTATATTGACAGCTGGCGTTTGAGTATGAGGTTAAACTGTATCATCTTTACTGTTTTGATATTTTCCAATATGTTGTGGTCATCAGTTATGCAAATCAGTTTCTTTGTGTCTTTTTAACAAGGTGTTTTTCATTAAGATTCACCGCCAGCCCGATTGTAACAATTACATGTGCACTTTGCTTTGACGATGCCGGTTGATGTTGTTCAATACAGGCTGGCGTTGGGCGTTTTTTAATCTTTTCTACATGCTAATCATTTCGGGAAGATGATACACATTTCTCTATATTTTTGGTTACTTTGCTTATATAATTTCCGATTATCATTCTTAGTTTTACTTTTTCTCTTTTGCTGCGGTGATATCATCCGAATCCAGGACCTTTGCATAGTCCAGATTTAAAGATTATACATCTAAACGTACGCTGTCTTAAAGACAAAGGGAGAGCGGAAGGTCCAGGGTTCGATCCCGGGCCGCGTCATACAAAAAGACGTTAAAAGATTGTACTTGTTGTTACCCTGTCTGGCGCTCGGCATTAAGAGGCTAAAACAAGGACTGTTCGGCTCGGAGTCAGTATACTGTGTCTGAGTGGGGTATTCATGTTAAACTGCGGCATGGTATCTCAGTGAGCTAGCACTATAAATCGGCATCAGTCCGGACTAGTACAAGCAGCCACACACACATACACGTGCATGCACGTCGCTATATAAGTGCAATAATCTTGGACGCGACGTTAAACCCAATTTCACCTCACCTCACCTTAAAGACAAAGTAGATTTAATCAGTGCTGAATTAGATAGTTATGATGTTGTATGTTTAAAGCAATAACTGGTCGGCTCGGAGTCAGTATACAGTAAACTGCGGCATGGTATCTCAGTGAGCTAGCACTATAAATCGGCATCAGTCCGGACTTATACAAGTAGCCACACACACGCACACGCGTGCATGCACGTCGCTATATAAGTGCAATAACCTTGGACGCGACGTTAAATCCAATTTCACCTCACCTCACCTACACTAATACCATTTTCAAATCGTAGCCTGTATTAAGGAATATATTTTAGATCTTAAATCAGAGTATAACGGACAGCCTGAGCTGGAGGCGCGCGTGGATATGTTGACAGTTTTTACGTAGTTAGTGTTAAAACCGAATGTTTGCGAGGATTAATAAGATTTCTGAATTTCAGTTACGACAGTAACCGTACATGTATTTGTCACATTAAGTCATTTCATTCAAATTTGTTTGGTATGATTATGTCTTATAATTATTTTAGGATGGAAGGTACAGTTACCAAATAAAATATGCTGAAATATCAATTCATTATGACCATATTTCATAATCTATATTTTAAAGTAACCCTCCTTAAATTAAAGATAACTATTTAAAGAATATAGTACTTAAAGACATTGCAACAAACCGAATAATCAGAGGGGAGACTTTATACCGAGGGGGGCGCGAAATATATCCGCCCGGGGGAGATTTTATTTCAGAACAGATTCTCCGGGGGAGAATCTGTACTGGTATAAAATCTCCGGGGGGAGAATTTGTACGGGGAGAGTTTATACCGGGACACCGGCAATAGTGCTCCTTAGTCCAACACACCACTTCGAACCTAACTTTGACTAGACGGGCGGTAGAATGGGCCCGATTCTATCAATCGGCTGTTCATGTCATGCCCTGTGCATACAACATTTCACACAAACATTTGGTACTTAAAAAATAAATCTATTCAAAATGTCTTACATATGTCTCAATCTATAAAACTTGCTTAGAGCCCTATACCCTATGGCTCATGGGCCATCTGGTAATGCTGACCTCCGAATTCTGTACGTCTCAAATTGATTGTCATGGGCCGAACCAGCCTGACCTTTAATTGCGATATTGCGTTGATTGATGTTCATTATATCAATCACTGGATCGTCTTGTACACCGTGCGTCTGGAACAGGCGAAGGTTATACGGATCTGTGACGCTCCCATTCGCTCCATACCAGTGGCTCTCTCTCTCTCTCTCTCTCTCTCTCTCTCTCTCTCTCTCTCTCTCTCTCTCTCTCGCTCTTCAAAAGATAAACGTGACATTTCTTTTGTAAGCGCATTTTGTGTAGGGTCCAAAAACATGCGTTACAATTTGATTTTCACGGTATCATGTTTTCGCAATTTGAAATTGGAAAACGTTTTTGTCCTCAACTATGCTAACCAGGCAAGTTAAGTTATCACGGAAGCATGTGACGCCAGCCATGTAGCATGGCGTCATAGTATCCAGAAATTACTCATGACTTGTGTCTTTTACACATTTCCGGGCATGGACTATTCAGTAACACAGTAATGATATTCAGTATACTCTCGGAATACTGCTAAGTGCGGCATTAAACACCAAACTAACAAATGACAAAAGATTATTTCAATTTGCCAAATTTAAAAGATATTTGAGACAGGACCGCTTCACCAAACTGACAAACATTTATTTATGCGACAACCACATGTACTAAGCCATACCTGACAACCCCTAAGCGAAAATACACCCGAGTGGTCTGCATTCACTACGTAGGCTATAACTTATAAAAGCAGATTAACTCATATAAGTTGGGAAATACAGATTTAAGATAGTCCTGTTCATAGGAAACTTGGTTCAAGCAAAGAAATAAATTACGTCATTTATGGTTGCTAAGATCATCGAAATGCAACAGCAAGTCAAGTGCTGGCTCGCAGGTTCCAAACATGGTCAGACAGTAAACATGCTGATCGTTGCTTTGTGAATCCTTATCACACAAAGCAAGAATTTAATTTATTGGCATGGTTGTATTCATGCTTTCGATTTATGGGCGACACGACACATTGAGGGTTAGACACAAGGGCAACCCTAAATGGCACACAAGCCGCAATACACCTTAACTATAACATTGATCGTGTCGACAGTCAAACACAAAAGTTAATTATGTTTCTTGTCATTGTGTGTGTGTGTGTGTGTGTGTGTGTGTGTGTGTGTGTGTGTGTGTGTGTGTGTGTGTGCGTGCGTGCGTGTGCGCGTGTGTGCATGTGTATCTGTGTGTATCTATGTGTATGTGTGTGTATGAGTGTGTGCGTTCGCGTGCCCTTGATCCTCAGGCACAAGGTCAACACGTAATAAATTGTTTTTGTTTGTTGTTTTACCCCGCACTGATCATGAGCAATCTACAAGCTTCAAGACAGCAGTCCGTAGCTAAAGTAGTCTGTACCAGACAATCCAGTGATTAACATCATGAAAATCGATCTACAATACGATGACATGCATCAACAAAGTTAACGGTTGACAAGGCGATCCAATTAGTCTCCGCTTATGACAAACATGGGTAGCTGAAGACCAATTCTAACCCGATCTTCACGGGTCCCTAAATAAATTGCACGAACTTCTGCATATTTATTAAACACCCATGAGCTTGTTCAACTGACTGCACAATCATTTCTGCTGTTACCTTGTGAATGGCTTTTAACAGACTCTTGGTGTGTAATTATCATTTGAATTTGAAATCGAGTCCACTTAAAGCAAATATGATTTTACCGAAATCTGGACATTGCGTTTGCCATTTGACAAAATTTGAATATACAAATCATTTACTCAATGTTGTATTACATCATCGGAGGATCGCCTCTGTGGTCTGGTGGTGGAGCGTCCGCCAAGACAGCGGAAGACCTTCGGTCCGATCCCCGGCTGCGTCACTCTCAAAGACATTAAAAGATGGTACTTGTTGTTACCCTGTCTGGCGCTCGGCATTAAAGGGCTAAAGCAAGGACAGGTCGGCTGGGAATCAGTTTATTGTGTCTGCGGAGGGTATTCATGTTAAACTGCGTCATGGTATCTCAGTTTCTCTATAAAATATTCATTCGTCCGAACTAGCACACACACACACACACACACACACACACACACACACACACACACACACACACACACGAACACGCATACACACGAACACACACACACGAGCACACACACACACACACACGAACACACACACACACACACACACACACGAATCAGCCACATACTAATTTCTCTCAAAGGTACCCATCCCATTGGTGTAGTTGATAGAGGTTCTGTCCCCATTTCTCCTTACCTCGCCTTCAGAGATTGGTTTGTTTGATGCAGACGCGTTTGCGGAAACCAACATTGATACACATAAAGAACCTTCACGCATTCATATCTAATTAATTAAAATATGTGTAACACTGATTACGTCCTATAACATCGATAATGGCGTCAGTAAAACCAAAATGTTAAATAATTTTCGTGTCATTTTGCGTGTGTGTTAATCTTGGTTGTGGCTTTTAACACAACTTCATGTGTCATTTCCATTGACTTTTAAATATCAGACAAGTCATTTACCCAAGCACTAAACCTAGACATTAGTTTGATGTGTACTTTTGACATCAATAAACTCATTTACTCAAAGCTGCAAAACAACGGAAACTGTTTCGGCACATCATCGAGAATGATTCGTCTCTGGCGTTGACGTTAACCAAGTACACGCCTTTATATTCGTGTACCGGATCTACTGTGTTTCAGTGGTACTCTCTGTGATTATAACTCTCGGAGCTGCGATGTAGAACTGTTCTCCATAGATCGCTGAGTCTATACAGCCTTTTACGCGTGTATGTTCACATACATGCCCATGTGTGAATGACGTGAACCACGTGACATTACCCGCGCACCAAGCGTACTCTGGATTGATTGATTGGTATTCTCCTTTCACGTGACAATACTCGTGGTAAAAAGTGACTAACACAGTTTGGTGGCAGTCAGCACGTCGATGCATGTTCATTATACATTTAGTAGCTTCAGGATGAACATCGACTGACAAAACGTCCAACAAAAATGTTTTCGAAGAAACATTTTGTGTATCTGATACTTCTCAGTGTTGGATGTTTGTTTGTAATCGTCATCAATGTTAGCTGGCCATCTACACTGCTCTTTAAGAGGCTCCACAATTATCCAAAGTAAGTGTTTAAAATGTTTTTGATACTAATATGGAAAACAACTGACCAGATTTTAATGCAATGACACCAAGTCTGTGTTAACAAAAACTGCCAGCACATGTTTATCAGTTCTTTATTTTGTTATTTTTACTGACGTTATTACTTTGCAGACAGTCGTGTGGGGTTTCAATTTCAAAATAGATACATCATGCTTGTCGTAAAACCCGACTAAAATGGACTCGGAGATTTGGCAGACTGTGTCGCATATTTTGTCGATTGTTGCACATGTTTTCACAAAGGTAACTGTCCCATTGGTGTAGGGGATAGAGCGTCCCCATTTCTCCTTACCTCGGCTTCAGTGAATGGTTTGCTTGATGTAGACGCGATGAAGGAAACCAACCATGATACACATAAAGAACCTTCACCCATTCATATCTCGTTGTCAACATATGTTTTCCAAATCGTTCAAGTTTTTATCAAAGTGCCCACGTGATTTGATGCATTTCGCGATGTAAGACCGGTTTTTCACAATATAGATCGTCATTCTCGATCAGATCGTCCTGACTGGCCGTCGCCATTTTTAATCATGCAAGATATTCAACTTCATTTGTAAATTGTTGACAGTATTGCCAAACACAATATGGTCACCCGCAAAAAGGAGTAGAAAAATATTAAACTTTCCGGTTGGATATATGCAAACACAATATATATATTTCCACTGAAACCAAACAAACTTTTATCCAACAGAATAGTAAAAGCATGTTCTTTGTATCGAACATTAATAACATATCTTACCAGTGGATAATTTATCATAAGCATTCTTCCCGAATACCTCCCGAACTGGGACCTTTTTGTGGCTGGTAAACAAAAAAGTTTATATTCTGGAAAAATGTCACCAAAGTTATTTTTTATTGACTATGTTTCATATAAAGCAACACACAATGTCATGTTTAGATACAAAGAAACAAAGCCAATGTCGGACCCCGCTTTGCCCCGATTATGTTTCTAGGTTTGTCAGCACCATACCCGTGCTCTTGGGTTTCACCGAAGTGGTAAACGTCTGAGACCTGAATCACTTCAGGCTTTCCTCCAACATTAAGCTGACACGCCGCGATATAACTGTAATAATGTTAAAAGCGGCATTAAACCCAACTCACTCACTCACTGCAATGTACCTTGACGGCAGCTTATTACGAATAATTACAAGAAACCGAGAAAAAACAATAAAAAAAGTGAAGATAGCAAAAAGGTGTCTTATATTTCCAATCAAACTTTGTTTATAAGAATATTTCACATTAAGGGGCGATATCTACGATATTAAGGGTTGCGGGTTGTTAGTGTCAATTTGTTTACATTAAGAGTTAACACGTAACACGAATGTTGAATAAAGTTTGTTGTAGCAATAAATTCGTTCAGCATTTTTTACATTATTTTTAAAATTACCCCTACATGTTTGAATGTTTGATTTCCATGAAATGACATTTCACATTGACTATCAAAAATGAAGTGTCGCGTCAATATGCAAAAAATGACTTGGTTAGTCCAAACAGAGCAAATATGTAATTGAAACATATCATTGGACTCAGTTTGGAGTTTTTTTTGTCAATTTCATTTTGAAATAGCCAAGAGCACCCGTTTCAAAGGGCTCATGCCGTCATTGAAGAATGGAGGTATACCTAATGTGTTTTGAAATTCGATGTCCCACTGTCACTTTACCGCGAGGTTTCAAATGTATAAATAAAACATATCTAGTCTACAGTGGGACAACATCAAATTTCAAAACAAGTCACACAACCTTACCACCCAATCCATTTAAATCCAATCATTGTAAATGGCAAACTGAGGGAGATACACTTTGGCATGAATGTTTCTACATGTGATGAGATGATATTTGGTAAAATCATTATGATTTTAGAAATAACAAAAGTATCTATAAAAGGAATAAAAGGCTCAGAGATGTAACTTCTTGTAACATAGTTATAGCTGTTTGAATTGCAACAATGTTATACAATAGTTCATTAATTCATTCTTATAGCTGTAGAAACGACCCCCCTGGTGAAGATCCTCCGTTTTGTATCCCTTGTGATGAAAGAATCACGGTCAAGCATGTCCTGCTTGACTGCATTGATTTTTCCACCCCATGGATAAATATTTCAGTGTCAAAACATTTAAGGACCTTTTTAATGATGTTAATTCTCATTTAATATTATGCTTTTAAAAGAAATAGAACTTGTCCATAAATTTTGATGTACTGAATGTATTATTTTATAAATTGGTAGTGCTAATTAATAACTTAGATTGTGAGTGGCTGTACCCTCGAGGGGGGTTGTAGTAGCGTAAAATTATTGTCCCCCTAAGAGGGTATGTAAGTCCCAAATCATTCGAAGAATTTTATGCATACCAGACTTTTAAAACGTAGCATTTTTGTCATTTTATTATTTGGCTTAACTGGTAAACTATCGCAAGTGACTGAAGGGATGATATAAATCCTGCCGGGGTCCATGCAGGACGCAAAGGCACTGTAAGTCCCAATGGTCTCTGGTATGGTGATCTCCCTTTAGTTACTGACGATCTCTAGCCCATTTTTATATTGTGTTGTTCACTGATACTTATGGCTTTTATATATTCTAAACTAGTTTTAAATCTAATCTGTGATATTCTAGTTATTGTACTGTCCATCGTTGACAGCTTTTTATTTAGTCTAAATCTATGTAATATTATTGAACTTCTCGTCACGATATGGCTGAAATACTGCCGATGCCGATCTTAACTCACTCACTCACTCATATTAATAGATGACTGATAAGCAGTAATGTCACCAGGGATTCGCAAAAACAGAAAGACAATAGAACTAAGACTGTATAGTAACATCATATATATGAAGTGAGTTTTATAAAATGACACAGTTACTATTTCAGAGAAACCTTTATGCAAACGATTAAGACCTACTCTTACAGCTGATTTCCAAATTATATTCTTAGTTTCATGGATTAGCTTAAAGTGTCAAAAAATAACGAAAAGGTCACAATATGCATGAATGGTGTTGGTGAAGTAACAAAGTACGACCGAAACACGTATCTGTTCTTTGTACTGACTGAAACAAATGTGTTATTAGATAATAACGGGGTGTTATATAACTCCCCGTGGGGACCCGGGGAAGATAAATAAGACTGTGTCCTCAGCACCCCATTGCTGGTCGTAAAAGGCGACCGAATCGGTCAGCCTGTTTGCCGTGGGCTGCGACCCTGTGTCGGCAGAGGAAGGGAGTCTGATGGTTGAGGGCGATAGAGCCGGTGTCACGAAATATATTCGCCCCCAGAATAAAATCTCCCCCTGGCGAATTTATACCGGTACAGTTCCGCCCCTCTCGAAATAAACTCTCCCCCCACCTACGAAATAAAATCTCCCCCCAGAATATCCCCCCCCCCCCTTAACTTATTAATGTCTCACTTCTGTACATACATAAAACAGCTTTGTACAAATAAACATTGATAGAATGTACAGAACCATTCAATATAATTTTGAGAGATTATTAACAGAATATCCCACTGCTAAGTATATGATAAATTATTGAATTAACATTAGATAAGGTTGAGAATAAAGTGTGTGTTTTTTCAATACATCTTAGACTGGTGAGTCTTCTGCTCGATGATAACCAGCCTACTCATATGTTTACCCTTTTCCCCATTGTTGGAAAGTGTGTCGTCTGCTACCCCAGCTGGAGCCACCTGGTAACAATTAATCACAAGCTGTCAATATACAATACATTATAATACATCAAGATGGCAGTTTCCATGTAAAGATTAAGTATTTCTAAGCAACTTAAAGATATGCACAATATCTAGATATATGTATCTTTAATTTGCTCAGAAAAACTTAATCTTTACATGAAAACTGTCATCTTGATGTATTATTCTGTTTTGTATATTGACAGCTGGCGATTGAGTATGAGGTTAAACTGTATCATCTTTACTGTTTTGATATTTTCCAATATGTTGTGGTCATCAGTTATGCAAATCAGTTTCTTTGTCTCTTTTTAACAAGGTGTTTTTCATTAAGATTCACCGCCAGCCCGATTGTAACAATTACATGTGCACTTTGCTTTGACGATGCCGGTTGATGTTGTTCAATACAGGCTGGCGGTGGGCGTTTTTTAATCTTTTCTACATGCTAATCATTTCGGGAAGATGATACACATTTCTCTATATTTAAGGTTACTTTGCTTATATAATTTCCGATTATCATTCTTAGTTTTACTTTTTCTCTTTTGCTGCGGTGATATCATCCGAATCCAGGACCTTTGCATAGTCCAGATTTAAAGATTATACATCTAAACGTACGCTGTCTTAAAGACAAAGTAGATTTAATCAGTGCTGAATTAGATAGTTATGATGTTGTATGTTTAAAGCAAGGACTGGTCGGCTCGGAGTCAGTATACAGTAAACTGTGGCATGGTATCTCAGTGAGCTAGCACTATAAATCGGCATCAGTCCGGACTAATACAAGTAGCCACACACACGCACACGCGTGCATGCACGTCGCTATATAAGTGCAATAACCTTGGACGTGACGTTAAATCCAATTTCACCTCACCTCACCTACACTAATACCATTTTCAAATCGTAGCCTGTATTAAGGAATATATTTTAGATCTTAAATCAGAGTATAACGGACAGCCTGAGCTGGAGGCGCGCGTGGATATGTTGACAGTTTTTACGTAGTTAGTGTTAAAACCGAATGTTTGCGAGGATTAATAAGATTTCTGAATTTCAGTTACGACAGTAACCGTACATGTATTTGTCACATTAAGTCATTTCATTCAAATTTGTTTGGTATGATTATGTCTTATAATTATTTTAGGATGGAAGGTACAGTTACCAAATAAAATATACTGAAATATCAAGTCATTATGACCATATTTCATAATCTATATTTTAAAGTAACCCTCCTTACATTAAAGATAACTATTTAAAGAATATAGTACTTAAAGACATTGCAACAAACCGAATAATCAGAGGGGA